GGCACATCCCCAGTAGGAGGTGTGCAGGAGGCAGCTGATCGATGTTTCTCTCTCATCGATGTTTCTAACTCTCTATCTCTCTCCCTTCCTCTCTGTAAAAAATAAATAAAATATATTTTTAAAAAAAATATGAACTTCGAACTATTCTTTACATCATAAACAAAAATCAACTCAAAATGGATTAATTGTAAAACTATGAAACTTCTAAAAGAAAATATAGAGGAGCCCTAGCCGGTTTAGCTCAGTGGATAGAGTGTCAGCCTGCGGACTGAAGGGTCCCAGGTTTGATTCTGGACAAGGGCACATGCCTGGGTTGTGGGCTCAATCCCCAGTAGAGGCCCATGCAAGAGGCAGCCAATCAATGATTCTCTCTCATCATTGATGTTTCTCTCTCTCTCTCTCTCTCTCTCTCTCTCTCTTCCTTCCTCTCTGAAATCAATAAAAATATATTTAAATAAAAAAGAAAATATAGAGGATATCTTTGTGACCTCTGGTTAAGCAGATTTCTTAATACAACACCTAAAGGATAACTGAGGTGGAATTCTTCAAACCTAAAAACATGCTCTTCTAAAGTCAGTGTGAAGAGAATACTTTTCTCCAGACTAGGAGATAATATTTTCAAATTACATATCTGATAATGAGCCTCTATCCAGGAACTATAAAGATCTCTCAAAATTCAACAATTAGAAAAGAATCGACTTGGGAGACCAAGATGGCAGCATAGGTAAACACCGGAGACTGCTGCCGCAAACAACCACTTCAAAAATACAACTAAAAGACGGAACGGACATCACCCAGAACCACAGGAAGGCTGGCTGAGGAGAGACTCTTCAACTAGAAGGAAAAATAACAGCACACCGAGGCTCAGAGGAGGCGCAGTGTGGAAAAAACTCAGGTGCGGAGGTGCGCGCGCAAAGCGGGCTGGTGGCTGAGAGCGCGGTTGTCGTTTTCGGTCAGGGGGGAGTCTCAGACTCTGAGCTCCAGATACGGGCGAATCGCTGGGGACTCGGACCCAAACGGGAGAAGCGGGAGTGTCTGGCATCAGTTGGAAGGCAGCTTTCCCTCCGAGGTTTGCAGCGGTTCCGGGGGTTCTGAGAAGCAGAGCCTCTGGGAACAGGACTGAGGGCACCATAACGGCTCCCTCCGCCCGCCCTGTTGAGCCCGCCCCGCCCAAGCCCTGCGCAGAGCCATTTGCCGGATCGCCTCAGGCAAAGGCTAGATTAGCACCTCCCCAGAGGACAGAAGTTTTCCGCGGCAGACACAGCTGATTCACACAGCCAGTCGGCCTGGTGGTCAAATCCCTCTAGTATTAACTACAACAATCAAGGCTCAACTAGAACAAGACTGCGCACAAAGACCACTAGAGGGTGCACCAAGAAAGCATAAAAAATGCGGAGACAAAAAAACATGACAGAAATGGAGGATATAGAGCTAAAAATCGCAATTTTGAGGGCTTGCAAAAATGTGCTAGAAGCTGTCAATAAACTTGAGGAGAGAGTCACGAAAACTAATGAGACCCTCGATGCTATGATAAAGAACCAACTAGAAATTAAGCATACACGGACTGAAATAAAGAATATTATACAGACACCCAATAGCAGACCAGAGGAGCGCAAGAATCAAGTCAAAGATTTGAAATGCGAAGAAGCAAAAAACACCCAACCGGAAAAGCAAAATGAAAAAAGAATCCGAAAATACGAAGATAGTGTAAGGAGCCTCTGGGACAGCTTCAAGCGTACCAACATCAGAATAATAGGGGTGCCAGAAGATGAGAGACAGCAAGATATTGAAAACCTATTTGAAGAAATAATGGCAGAAAACTTCCCCCACCTGGTGAAAGAAATGGACTTACAGGTCCAAGAAGCGCAGAGAACCCCAAACAAAAGGAATCCAAAGAGGACCACACCAAGACACATCATAATTAAAATGCCAAGAGCAAAAGACAAAGAGAGAATCTTAAAAGCAGCAAGAGAAAGAGACTCAATTACCTACAAGGGAATACCCATACGACTGTCAGCTGATTTCTCAACAGAAACTTGGCAGGCCAGAAGGGAATGGCAAGAAATATTCAAAGTGCTGAATACCAAGAACCTACAACCAAGAATACTTTATCCAGCAAAGCTATCATTCAGAATTGAAGGTCAGATAAAGAGCTTCACAGATAAGGAAAAGCTAAAGGAGTTCATCACCACTAAACCAGTATTATACGAAATGCTGAAAGGTATCCTTTAAGAAGAGGAAGAAGAAAAAGGTAAAGATACAAATTGTGAACAACAAACATGCATCTATCAACAAGTGAATCTAAGAACCAAGTGAATAAATAATCTGATGTACAGAATGAACTGGTGATTATAATGAATCAGGGACATAGAAAGGGAATGGACTGACTATTCTTGGGGGGGAAAGGGGAATGGGAGATGCGGGAAGAAACTGGACAAAAATCGTGCACCTATGGATGAGGACAGTGGGTGGGGAGTGAGGGCGGAGGGTGGGGGGGGAACTGGGAGGAGGGGAGTTATGGGGGGGAAAAAAAAGAGGAACAAATGTAATCTGAACAATAAAGATTTAATAAATAAAAAAAAAAGAAAAGAAAAGAATCCAATTTTAAATCAGGCAAAAGATATGAACAGGTGTTTCAGCAAAGCAAATATATGGATGGAAAATAACCATGTGGTAAGATGTTCAACATTATTCATTAGGAAAGTGCAAATTAAAGCTACAAGGAAGGTATTACTATACAACATACCTATTAGAATGGCAGAAATTGGAAAGGTCACACCAAGTATTAGGCGAGGTACTGAGCAAAATGAAATTTTCATTCACTGCTGGTGGGAATGTAAAATACCACAATCCCTTTGGGAAACAGTCTGAAAGTATCTTAAAATTAAACACAGACATACTATAGGACCAAGCCATTCCATTCTGGATATTTATCCAAGAGAAATGAAAACATGTCCTATGAAGACTTGTTTACAAATGTTCATAGCAGCTTAACTCATGATGGCCCCAAATGGGAAATAACCCAAATGTCCATCAATAGGTGAATGAAGAAACAAACTGTGGTACATCCATACAGCGGATACTACTTAGCAATAAATATTAATTACTGATACATGCAACATGAAATAATGTAGAAATAATTGTGTTGAGTGAAAGAGACCAGGAAATATGAGAACATATACTGTATATAATTCCACTTATATGACATTCTAGAAAATACAAGCTAATCTCTAGTAGACAGAAAGCATGTCAGGTGGTTGCCTGGGATGGAGGGGATGAGAGGTAGGAAAGGGCAAAAGGGAGTGACTTCAAAGGAGCAATGGGAAACTCTGGGGGGTGATGAAAAGGTGCATCATCTTTTTAAATATATTTCTATTGACTTCAGAGAGGGAGAGGGAGAGAGAAACATCAATGGTGAGAGAGAATCACTGACTGGTTGCCTCCTGCACGCCCCACACGGGGGAATCAATCCCGCATATGCCCTGACTGAGAATCAAACCATGACCTCCTGGTTCAACCTCTGAGCCACACCGGCTAGGTGCATTATTTTAATTGTGGTGATAGTTCCATGGGTATATACAAATGTCAAATGCACCAAACTGTATATTTTAAATATGTGCACTTTATTATATATCAATTATCTTCTATAATAATAAAAGGGTAATATGCTAATTAGACCGGACGTCATTCAGGACATCCTTCCTAACGAAGCCAGGGCGGGGGGGAAGCCAGCCTGGGTCCCGGGTGCCTGCCGGCAGCTGGAGGAGGGAAGCCCAGGTCCCAGGTGCCGGAGGGAAGCCAGAACACCAGCAGCCAGGGGAAGGAAGGCCTGCTCTTGCATGAATTTTCGTGCATCAGGCCTCTAGTACCTCAATAAAGCAGGGCAAACAGAGAGAAGAGAGAAAACCATCAATAGCATAAAAAACAGGCAGCACCTAATTGTGGACACCGGGAGCTTCTGAATTTTTGTCTTGGCGTCTCTCTTGATGTCCAGGTGCCAGGGCTAGGTTTCCCCCCACACCCCTTTCATTAAGCACAAAGTGATAGGAAGGCCCTCGGTGGGGAATGAATTATGGACTTAGAAAGGGAGAAAATGCGGGCAAGTAGAAGGTTCATTCTGCAATTTAAAACCCTTTGGCATAACAAACAACTCTAGGCAGTGAGGCTCTAGGTGATTTTCCTTTGGTTTATTTAAATTTTCTGTACTTTCCAAATTCTTTAGAAGCATTATTTTGCTCTTTGTGGGGAGCAGGGGGGGGGACAATTTTAAAAGAACCAGTTCAAATTCTCCATTGAGAACTATTCAAAAAGAAACCAAGGGGCTTTTCTCACACTGATAATTGATGAACAGCCACCTGAACATACACAGTCAAATCTAAGCTTAATGTAGATCAAAGAACGGGGAGACTTCATTTACAAAGGCTGAAGGATATTTACAATATGTGTAGAAGGTCAAAACCTCAAAACAATGGGTATGTTCTAAATTCTGAATTTTGCTAGTCAACCACTGAGTTGGCTTTCACCAAATTAAGGATCATCATATGTTTTAACTGATTTCCTACCCTTAGGCTGAAACCCGAGCTCTCTCGTGCTGAAGGGAAAGTCCTGAATGAGTTTCCGGGAGGCTGGGGCAGTGATGAGAGGTTCCTTGCCCCTGAGGCTGGAAGCCTGTACGTGAATCAAGCCTACAACACAGGATGGACACCTGCAGAGGCAGGATTTGAATCCCGCTTGGTGGCAGACATTCATGCCACATTTTTAGCCAAATGCTGATAAAATATGTTTCTTTTAAAATAACTTCACAGGTCAAATTAGGTGCAAAATGCTTCTTATACAATCTGAATACAAATCTTACAGTCTTCCTGCATGGTTTCTAAAAGAATAAGCCAACTGCTTAGTGATCATAGAATTCTTGGCTTAATTCCTTTCATTTCAGAGAAAAAATGAAAATAGGTTAGATACCACAATGAAACCCATGTAACATAAAACAGAAGACTTACATGTCTTGGAGTGTTCGTGCGATAGCATGTAATTGGCAAGAGGTGGCGTGTATGTTAAGCACTGCAATGCTGCATTGGCAAAGCAGGTATTGCCCAAATTCTGGAGCCCAGCTCCAACTCTATGAGTTTGTTGCCACTTAAGACAAATCTTCTCAGATGGGAAAAGAACTTTTTGCGGAGGAGCAATGCCATCACCTAGGGCTAGAAAAATACAGAACAAATATTTAATAACAAAGCTCCACATGCTTTTGAAGCTAAATAAATAGCAATATATCAAACCTGAATCTGATGAAGATTCTAAATCTTTTTACCAGCTAACCAGGAATACAGAGGAGAAAGGCAGAACTCAGAATGTGGGAAACTCTAAATGATTTGGTCTCTTCAATAAAAATATATACTAATAAAAAAAATGCTCTAACTGGTTTGGCTCAGTGGATAGTGTCAGCCTGTGGACTGAAGGGTCCCTGATTTGATTCCAGTCAAGGGCACATGCCTTGGTTGTGGGCTCGATCCCCAGTTGGGGGCGTGTAGGAGGCAGCCGATCAATGATTCTCATCATTGATGTTTCTCTCTCTCTCTCTCTCTCTCTCTCTCTCTCTCCCCCCCCCTTGTTCTCTGAAATCAATAAAAAATATATTAAAAAGCAAATGCACAAACACCACCCAGTATTTTTAAAAACATCTTTAAATGTTTAAAAGACAGACATCTACTTAGAGAACTATAGTTAATTGAAAAGTTAATGAAATGCTTGTCCATTTCAATTCTCACCAAAATAAAGTTTATCCTTCAACAAATTAGAAATTTAAAAACTACAAATAACATCCGGCCAGTGTGGCTCAGTGGTTGCCCAACCCGTGAACCAAGAGGTCACTGGTGCGATTCCCAGACAGGGCACATGCCTGGATTGGGGGCTTGATCCCCATTAGGGGGCGTGCAGGAGGCAGCCAACTGATGATGTTTCTTTCATCAATGTTTCTCTATCTCTCTATCCCTTTCACTTCCTCTCTCTGTAAAAACCAATGAAAACATATTTTAAAAAATAAAATAAAATAAAAAACTACAAATATCATAGTAATTAAAAATAATCTCCCTTGTTATGATACGTGTGTTAATCATAAATAAGCAGCAGAGGAAAATGAAGCCCATCATAATGTAACTGGCCGGCCACTCAGGCAGCAATATATCGTGCAAAATAAGAAGCCCTCTGAAACTACCAACCCACTGACAGCATTGACACAGGAGTTTCTTGGAGTCTAGTACCTTGATCCTTCTGTGGTGATGGTTTTGACTTATCAGGTACAGATGAACTTGAATACACTACAGCACCAGGCACTGGTCCTAAAGAAAGCGTGTGATTTGAAACCTCATTTAAGGAAGACACAGCACCCCAGCCGGCAGACCCTGCATCCATGTCTCCAGGTGAGACGGCCTCGGAGCTGCCAGGCTGGTTCTGATAGGTCGAAGGGCCCGAAGATTCAGAAGCTTTGTCAACTATGGTCATTGTTCAGCTCTGCAAAAGACAAAAGCACACATTTCTTTCAGAAGATTAGGAAAGTAACCTACTTATTCTACCATTAGATCTCGGAAAGTTATTCTAGCAATTTTTGAGTATCTTCAAATATAAAAGTAACAGTATTTTTCACTTTGTAATAATTCCCTCAGGACATTTAGTATTGTCTACTCTGCAACAATTGTCTACATAGCAACAATTTTTAATTATAAAACTTTCAATGGGCCTAGCCAGTTTGGCTCAGTCGTCGGCCTGCAGACTGAAGGGTCCCGGGTTCGATTCCGGTCTGCCTGGTTGCAGACTTGATCCCCAGTGGGGTGCGTGCAGGAGGCAGCCGATCAATGATTCTCTTCATCACTGATGTTTCTATCTCTCTCTTCCTCTCCTTTCCTCTCTGAAATCAATAAAGATACATTTTTTAAAAAACTTCAATGAAATATTTGATTACATCTTATCATTCTATTCCATGCCTCTTAAAATTATTTCAATTTATAATCAGGTACCTCAATTTCCAATTCTCTACATTTACCAAGTACCTATATTCTTTCTTTCCATTGCTTAGAACTAGAATGTGAAATGCACTAATGCATGCGACTCAATTTTCAATCTGTATATGATTCTCCAGGGAAAAGTCTCAACTACACAGAGAGAAAATCTAGCTTTAATGTTGAGCATAAAGTCCAAAAGACACTGTTTGAAATACATTGCATTTTTAAAGTATAGGAAGTCTCACCTCTGAAGCACATTTTTCTGAAGAGACTCATTTATTTGGTATATATGACTTGTACAAGGAAGCCCAATATAATTACGCACTTTCATACTTTTTATACGGTAACTTATTTAATTTTCATAATGGACGTATGAGACATTGGACAGAATCACAGGATCTATAAAATGCACCAACTACAACCCAAACTAGTCAGCAACTGGGACTAGGGACCAGGTCCAACATTCCTGACTGGGGTTCCTTCTGGCTATACCAACCTGTCAATAGACTACTTTCAAGAATGTTTCTGAAACTGCCAGGTAGCAACCAAATCTGGTATGCCACTGCTCAGTGGGTAACCCTTCGGGTGTGCCCTGACTGCCCCAGCACATCCTCCTAGCACCCGGCCTGGGCACCGCCTGGCCGAAGGACCTCTGCACACACACCCTCAGGTCCACCCCACCTGCTCTCCCTGGGCTCTGCACATGCTGCTCCTTTCACCTCTCTTCTCCATCCTTCCACCTCCAGCCAGTTAACACTTCCACGACTCAATTCATTTCCTCTGGGACACTTTCCTTGACAACCTCCTCCCCAAGAGCTGGGTTAAAACCCCTCCTCCAGGCTCCCAGCACCCTGCGCTGATTTCTACAGCAGCCCTTCAGCACCTACTGCACAGCAAGTTCACGTGCTGCTCTCGGCAAGTCCTCACTGGTACCCCCGGGCCTGACACACAGAAAGCTTCCCATGCAGGCGTTGAACAAATGAATGAATTCTGGAGACAGAAAATAACCCGTGTTTGCTTTAGCACCAGTTTGTGCTGAGTGATTCACATACAGTATCTCATTTAATCCTTTAAAAACTACGAAGTTGGAATGGCCTTTAAAACTTGTTTTAAAAATATTCAATACAGTAAATGGATAATAAATACCCACGTACATGCCACCTCAACAAATGTTACAATGCACTATCTGCTCATAAGAAGTTTTTATTTTAAGCCTCAAATTTGTGTTATAATTTTAAATGAAGGCATGATTACTTCTCCCCCAAAAGTATAACCTTAAAAAACTTTTTGGGCTCTTACATAAAAACAGAAGATGTTATTTAGATCTAATAAAATAAAAACTGAACTGGAAATTTAAGTCAATCTCAGATACTGAGAAAAAGGAAAAAACAAACAAAAGGGAAAAAGAAAAAGAAGGTACTGGACCTTCATTCAGGAAGAAAACTTGAGCCATATTATCCACAACAAATTCACATTTTTCTCATCGAAGAGTCCAAAGAAATTATGAAACAGTGTGGAGACAAGAGTAAGAAAACAAAAGAGGAAGAGGAAGGGAAGGAGGAGGTAAAGAAAGCAAAACAGCAATAAAGAAAGGCTTACTTACAATGCCGTTAAACAGCAAAAACCTTGGTTTTTCCCTGGATAGACATCCTTTCAGGACAATCATTAACAAATGACCAAGTAAAACCATTCTACTGGCTCAAATGCCTTTTTGGAGGGGAGGGAGGGGTTCTTATATGGAAAAAAAAAAAGTGAAGGAATGCATACCAGTCGGTCGTCAATAACCGTACCGCATTATACTTTTGGGAAAACAAACCAGAACCATCCATTCGTTTCCATGTGTCCATTCCGCCGATGAATTCTCACCCTAAAACCATGAGGCATCCAACTGATCCCACCGGCCCAGAGAGAAACCCTTTCTGGTCGCCCAGCACCGCTGCGCAGGCCCCGGGACGCACGCCCTTCCAGGTGCCATGCGCTCAGCAAAGCTTCCCAGCATCAGTCACAACCCTCCGGACATTCAAGCAACTACTTCAGTGAAAAGTTACCATTTCTCTCAGCACGTCCTGGTGATATGCAAGAAGTTACAAACGCCTGTCTGGAAAAAAGAAGCAGGCGCTACAAGAATCAGGCTGGATGTGTGTGGAGACAAACGGACTTCACCAGTGTTTCATTCAAAAGCCTGAAAATTCTCAGTCTCTTGTATGGTATTTCCTCCTCAGTATCTCTACCAAATGCCAGAATGCATGATCCTTTTTTTTTTTAATATGTCTATGCTATCTAAACATGAAGGTACCCCACATACATTGAGGTAATGTCAAGGCATGCAAAAAGAAACTGTTACACTCCGCTGCTTCATGCACAATGTAACCCCCATTCCTGCACGGGCGTTAGCAGGCACAGCCTTGACTTTAGTTATCTTTTAAGACAGCCAAGCAACTGAGCCTTAAACCTTCACAAAACAGGGTAGACTCGGTTCAATGACATAGAAAAGAAAGTGAAACTGACCTCAAGTGAAAATAATTGAAACTGACTATGCCCATGCCCAATGCGCTCTGAATGAATGTCAGGAGAACGGTTTCACATGTACAGCTCTTTAAAAAAAGAAAAATTCAGTCCCCACAAAAATGCCTGAGAATATCGCTGTTACCTTGAAAAAAAGAGGCGGTAACTAGTTTTCCCACCAGCTTTCCTGTGAGTTTAGTGTTTTCGCGTTTAAACAATCAACGTGTTCTGCGGGAACAAGCCAGCCCGGGGCCTTGCTAACTGCGGGAGCGAGGCAACCAAGTCCGCCCAGCTGCACGCACACCAGCAGGTTCAAGTCCTGCGACCCGAAACTTCGGTCCCGGCCAGGCCCGGCCCGTTTCCATCCCGAACACCTGCATCTGACCGCCCCCTCCCCCCCGG